GACTTTGCGCGTAGACTTGCGACGCAAGTCGTGCTCTAGCGTCTTCGCTGATGCACTGCTGGTCGAAGTGGAGGTTTTTGCCAATCCGTCACGTGCGTTCATGTCGACATGGCCAGTTGCCTCGCCATCCGGAGCAACCGTGAACTGCACCGGAATGACTTCGATGGCATCCTCCTCAGGTGGAGTAGGCACTTGTGGCTCGTTAGGGGAGACGGCATTTGGCAAGTTACGAGCGTCCACGCACTCGGCCAATGACGGCAAAGGTGGCAGGGGATGGTGCGGCTCCTTACTATGGGTCAAACTGGCCGTTGTGACGTGTGCTTGGTCTCCGGCTGGTTGTGAAAGAGCCGCCGTCGTCACGCAGCAGGTCAATGGATCCAGGCCATTTGGGGCTGACCAGCTTGGAGGCTGGCTCACTGGCTTCTGTGCTTTATAGGCGGTCCTAAGTTGGGTCAAGGGTAATTGTGTGTCAGGTGTCGACGCGGAGTCAGAGATTTGCCCGGAGGAGTACACCGTCCAGCTTGTCTCGATGATTGCCGCAGGGTACTCTGGGAAGCTGTCCGGGGAGGGGGCACGCGGCACAGCTGTAGGGGGGCGCGGCGCCTCGTGAGGTTGATCTCCGAGGTAGGGCAGGTTGGCAGAGGGTGCAGCTGCCTCGTCGTTGTGCTTCTCAATAGCCCCTTGCTCGGTAGTGGCGAGGGTAGAATGAGAGGTAGCAGTGAGGTCAGACTCAATTCTTCCAAACGCAGCAATGAGCTTGGCGCTCCAGTCCGCCCAGGACTGCTGCCGCACGCCTTCGTACCTGTGCCACGCAGCAGCAGGATTTTGAAGGCGGTCTAAGGCCACGCACCACTTCTGATTGTCGCTCCATCCCTTGCGAGCTCCGAGAGCATTGATGGTAGCCACCCAATCGACGGCATCGTCCTGGAAGCCGCGAAACTCGGGTAGCTCGGAGGCAGCCGGTGGTGGTGTCACGGCAGGCGAAGCTCCAGAAAATAGCGACGCCACACAGCCAAGTTGGTGTGAAAGAGCCGCGAGAGTATACTGGAGCTTGCTGCGGCTCTCGGGGGAAGTTGTTGAATGGTCTTGCGAGGCGGCCGCGGCCAACGCCTCATCGATAATGTGAAGTCCCGGCAAGGCAGCAGGGAATATCGCAGAACTCGACGCTGTCAGGGCGCCGACCTCGAGGCGGAGTCGCGCAATGGTGCGCGAAAGCTCGGTGGCACTCTCGGGCGGCCCACATGCGGAGCCAGTGGGGACGTGTTCCCCGATCAGCGTACTCACTGCTGTGGTACCCTCGGCCGAGGGAGCTTGAACAGCACCCCTGAGCGGCTGAGGTGCCGATGAAGCACTGAGCAGGACGTTGTCGCAGTGGGAAGCGTGAACGGCATTCCCGGTCAACGACAGGCCATGTACTGTCGTGGTGGGGCCGGGGCAAGCCTGCCCAGGAGCCATCGAGAAGGCCTGGACGCCGTCCCCGAATGGCGGCACAGGTGCTCCCGGCTGCAGGAGGGCTGTCGGCTCCATGATCGAGGAAGCGTGAACAGCGTTTTTACGATGAGAGAACCACGCTGCCGATGATCCACGAGGGTACGGACAGGTGGCTTGTGCCGCAGGGTTCACTTGTGGACCTGTGCTCACGGCACAATCCGTGGCGAAGGACGCGTAGACGGTGTCCCTTTTCATGAAGAAATACCGGTGATGGGTATACTAGAGCCGCCGAGGAGGCCTTGGCGCCATCCCCGAACGGTGGTGTCAGTGGCGGCAGGTGAACAGCTGCCGAGGAGGGCTTGACGCCGTCCTCAAGCGACGCTTACCGCGGCTGCACGTCGGCGGGCGTTCTGGATGACGAAGCCGGGACGTAAGCCGTTTTCTTCGTCGACTGCGCCATTGTAACGACGAGAGAAATAAGACACAACGCCTTTGCTGCAGGCCGGCTGTTCTTATTCTAACTTCGTCTTCCTCCTCCTAGCATGCGAGTCTGTGCCAGAGAGAGTTCCAGTTTCGGTTTTCGTCATTACAATATATATATATATATAGAAAAATACCTTACAGGCCCGAATGCATTGAGTAAGGGGGTTACAGTGAACGCGGAGGTAAACTTATAAGGAACAACTATATAATACAGGTTAATGATTACAGCATAATGTGGTGTAACAAAAAACTAACAATTTAGTAAGTCAGCACCACTGAAAATAAGAGATTGCAATTTGCTGATGAAAATAAAGGCCCACATTTCCCAACATAAGATAGCTAGAAAATTAAACAAGTAAAAAAAAACCTCACGATGCTATATTAAAGAAATGAATCTCAAGTTTTTGTCGAAACGTGTTAGAATGACTATCAAAGGCGATATTGTCGGGAAGATCATTCCACATGCGGATGACGTGCCGTAGTGTTGATGTGTTGAACGTGTTTGTGTTGCCAAACATGCGCGTGAAGCTGAGATTATTACGTAACCAGTGTGACGTGTAGAAGGGCCTTGAAGGTGCAATGGCGATGTTTTGTTACTGTACACGTACTTGTGAAATAGGCCTAACAAGGACACGAGACGGCGAACATGCAATGCTTGGAGGGAATGATCAAGTTTAAGGTGAGAGACACTGGAATGAATGTCGTAGCTTCTAGAAATGTAACGGGCGGCTCTGTTCTGAATTGCTTCCAGCATGTTAATTTGAGACTGAGCGGACGGGGACCAAACAGATGAAGCATATTCAAGCTGCGGTCAGACGAAAGAAAAGTAAGACGGTTTGCGAACGTTAGATGGACAATTACGAAGGTTTCAGCGTTAATACCCTAATGTTTTGGAGGCGTTAGCGCAAACAGAAGTGACATGTTCTAGCCAGGAAAGCCCTGGTGTAAGGTGGACGCCCCGATATTTGTTGGATGATGCCCGCGAAAGTATGTCACCTTGTAAGTGGTATGAAAAGTGGGAGATGGTATGTTTTCGTCCAAAGCAAACAACTTTGCATTTATTAGTATTCAGTGTCATAAGCCAAGTGTTACACCAGCTAGTGGTAGTGTTCAGTCATTTTGAAGGGAGCGGTGGTCGTTTGGACAGTTTATGGGTCTGTAGAGCATACAGTAATCCACGAAGATTCTGATATTTGGTGATATATTAGATGAGAGAGCATTGATGTAGATAAGGAAAACTAATGGGCCTAGGACGCTCCCTTGTGGGACGCCAGAAGACACATACGAAAAGGGAGAGGTAGAATGATTAACGGTTGTGAACTGCTTGCTGAGGGAAAGAAAATTTCGTAGCCAAGATAAAGTGAGGGAGTCTAAGCGGAGGGCAGATAATTTCGAAATAAGGCGGCAATGGGCGACACGATCCAATGCTTTGGCAAAATCAAGAAATATGCAATCTGTCTGTAGGCCACTGTTTATGTTATGATGAATGTCTGCGGTAAATTCTAATAACTGTGCTTCGAATGACATGCCTTTTCTGAATCCGTGATGGTTTGGGAAGAAGAATTTGTTAGTCTCGAGGTGACTGTATACATGGGAGGCGATTGTGTTTTCGAGTAGTTTGCAACAGATGCAAGTGAGTGATATAGGGCGATAATTTTTAGGTGAATTCTTGTCTCCAGATTTAAAGATAGGCACTACTTTGGCAATTTGGAGTCATAAGGCAGTTTTCCAGACGACAGCGACTGTCGAAAGATGTAGTATAATGCAATGCTAGATATGGAAACAGTGTTTTTTTTTTGTACCTTAGCGTTGATTTCATCAATCACGGCTAATGAAGATGCCTTAATCTGTTTAATTCGACAGGCGATACCATTCACCGTTATTTCAATAGGCTGCATGTACTGGAAGTAGTAGTCAGGGATATGTGACACATTGGAATGATCTTCCCGGCTGAATACAGATGAAAAATTGCTTTAAAAGCAGTAGAAAACTCGTAATCTGAAAGTGGGATATTATTTTCATCAAGTAATGACAACTGGTTAAAACCGTGGTCTGGGGATATGAGGCGCCAGAATTTCTTTGGGTTATTTCGCAAAAGAGAAGGTAAGTCGTTGTGAAAATGTTTATCTTGGGCATTGGATATTGCTTTGCAGTAGTCTGTCAAGCACTGCTTGTATTTGTCCCAAGCGGAGGTCGTAGCAGTTCGTTTTGCGTTACAGTACAGGCGTTTTTTTCTACTTCTCTGCCTACGGAGGGTTTTGGTGAACCGGCGATTAGCTTTGTCGTTAGAAATGGTGATAGTTGCGATATATTGGTTTATAAGCGAAGCCATCTTGCCTGAAAACAACCCAGTTTTAATTTACAGACCTGTTGTTGAACAGGGAAACAAGTCTTCGCTGAAAAATTTTTTTGAGTTCTGCGTTTATTTTGCTAAACTCGGCTTTGCTGTAGTCCCGAGTTTTCCTTTTTGGATATTCCTAGAAACGGTAAAGGCAAGTCTAACGTTACATCAATTAAATTATGGTCACTGTAGCCTTTTTAACAAGAGACTGTCCTCACAGAATCTGCAGTGCTTGTTAGTAACAGGTCCAACGTGTTTGAACCACGGGTTGGTTGATCGATGACTTGTGAGAGGTTAAAGTCCAATGCTAAGGTAATGAACTCTGTTGAAAGGCAGCATGATGATGATAAGTTTGTCCAATCATTTAGCGGAAGCTTGAAGCCACCAAAGAGGTAACTACATCTTTAATGCTATGACCTTTGGCGATAAAACAAATATATATATATATATATATATATATATATATATATATATATATATATATATATATATATATATATATATATATATATATATATATATATATATATATATATATATAGCATCAATAGTAAGGTAAGGTATATTGAAGCGGGCGAGTTGAAAATGATGCATGTTGTAAAAAGACAGCGCTACCAATACGGAGCACAAGAATAGCATTCAGACACAGGATGACCACTATATATTGCGTCCTTTTTTTTTTTCTTTTACTGCCCTCTTCCTATATGAATAACATGCATAAAAATAAAACAAAAGGCAAACTCACGTGTCCTATAACACAGACAGACAGCTCTTTCTTGCACCTACCTGTAAGAAAGAATTAGACCACCATGAAACAAAGTTCACACAAGAAAAAAAAAAGCCATTGCTATAGTGCCGTCAAAAGGACTCCCTCTCGACTTTTATATCTCACTATGAACGTTTCAATTATATAGGCTAGTTTTTACAACATAAATGCGCGCTATTTAAATATGCAATGATAACAAAGGCAAGTGACAATGTTCTCAAGAAAAAAGATCGGATAAAAAAAACAAGAAATTGCAATATGCCAGAGAAGACCAATCGACCTATGAAAAACCTAGATAAAATAAAACCGGAATTTAGCAAATAAGCTTCATTTCAGAGTAAGAATGCTACAGAGATCGAGAGGACTATTAACGGTTTCATTGCAAGTAACAAAGGTAATCGGAGTTTTCGCTTGACGTTGTTGCTTACTGGGACGGCGAGAAAACGCTATGCCCTTTTCTTTTTCGTGTTTCTTTTTTGCCGCATATAATGGCAATACTCTTGAGAAGAGCGGGAAGAGCGAGTTTAAAAAAAAAGAAGTTTAAAAAAAATTCGCTGGAGTGGAAATTCTTGCCCAATAGTGAATTGCCGTGCCAAGCGGCAGCCGCAGCCATCTTACCAGGGGCATGATGCGCTGTTAGCGTTAGGCGAATGAGAAGGATCGTTTTCCTCGCACGCCCAACGAGTTTAACGTGACAACTTTTTTGGGCCACATAGTGCTCAAAGTGCGTCCTTGTGTTACTAGTTTTCTTTAGTAAGCCTCAAAGTTTATGCCAATTCTGTTGAAGATTAGGTCACTGATACTAGTCTCTGCGCATTGTTTTTTCGGAAACAACCGTCTCTCAATTTATAACTAACGTAGCCTTTAGACCAACATATCGAAGCCACTTGATGTTTAAGTGGGCACCACCAGAAGATAGCATATTTCTGAGATCTTTGTAGTGCAAAAGCTGGCTTCACTACTGCTGGAAAAGCATTGCGGAGGCTTCCACTCCAGCAATTGTTTTAAAACCTCTTTGTCTTAGTATAACTCGACACATTGCAGCGAGCTCGAACTTCGTCGACAGCGAACGCAGGTGTATATTAAATGTGCAGATACTACACAGATGTGCACTGAAATATCTGACACGAGAACGTGTCAGCGACAGCCTGTCAAAATTAATCTCGCGCAGCTTTCGTGTCGACTTGTAAATATAGGTTTGACGAGTGCACAACGTTGGGCTCGACCGTGAAGTATAGGTGAAATGCAGGCGACCGGTCGCAGCAAGCGTCTACACAAAACTAAGTTAATTCTACTAAACTTCATTCACTATATATAGTTTGCATATGCGCCGTCGCGTGCACGCAAACTTCCGCTACGAGTTAGCGCACGTCCACGTGTACACAAAGCTTTGCGACTGTCAACGTATAGCCCCCTTCCTTCTTCCACTCCCCCAACACACAAACGCACTCATGCGCACACTGGAACGCACAACTACTGCGCGCAAGCTAAATTTAACTATACGAGTCAGCGCTTGTTTCGCGTCTACTTCACGGTCATGTCCAAAAGTACGCGATTGTCAAAGCTGCGAGTATATGAACTATAAAGCACGCACGCACGCACACACAAACACGCACACACTAACATCTTCCACGGAACTTGTTCAATTAGACAACACATTTAATTTGTGTGTATTTCTCTTCGCATATACTATAGTGTGAGACAAAATCGAAGGCACCATGACGCTTGACATAAACTGTCCTGTACAATAGCAACGAAGTTGGTATACATGGCAACGGAGCTGAATATAGGTCGAGTAGCGTGACAATTCCGAGGACGCTTTAAATTCCCCCTTATACCGTTGGCCATGATGAGGCACTCGTATGCGTGCACTGCAATATGAATACGCGCAAGACAAACTTAATTTCACCAAGGGACACAAATGACGCACCAACGATTAGGTTTGCGGCAACTGTTCGCAAGAGAATAAAGGCACTCGAAATTCTGGAAAAGCGGAATGATTGATGCCAGTCCCCGTTGTCTCCAATTCACGCTCTATTTGCTTTTTAAAGCGCCACGCTGCGCGAAGCCAGAGAAGAGATGAAACAACGGTCGGCTGGAACGGCTCGCTTGCCGCTCCGTAGATGCGGCGCAAGTTTGACGGCTGGCAGACAAGGCTGAACTCCCACGAAATTTTCGGGCGAACACTATTTCGGTGGCGGTGTCGTACGCAAAAAGTCCGGCACACGCGAACACGCAAAACCCTATAGCGAAAATGCTTCGATGGCATGCGAATGCACAGGCTGCGAGATTTCCAATAGTTGATGCACTCTCGATCGTGGGCTTGTCGGCGATCGGTTGCTTGTGATATGGCACTCATAATTTTTCGCCGAGGTGACTTGTCACTGCACGTCGTTATATTCATTGCCCGGATATGAGCGCACGGCCGTCGTTGCTGCGTATAGCAAATGAGGCCCCGGGGGTCTCATGCCACCAAGTTCCATCCAAGTGGTGTAGTCTAGTTGGTTACGGTGTACGGTCGCGGAGACCACATTTTCGAAGGAAGCGAAAGCACTCGAGGTCCATGTACTTGGATTTAGGTGCACGTAAAAGAACCCCAGACGGTCGAAATCTCCCGCGCCCTCCCAAACAGCGTCTCTCGTAATATTTTCACGGTTTTGAAACGTTCACACCTAATAAGTGTTGTTATCCCTCACAACAGTCAGGAGGAGGCAGCAATTAGAAAGAAAGAAAGAAAGAAAGAAAAAGAGAGAGAGAGAAAGAAAGAAAGAAAGAAAGAACTTTAAGAAGGCACACGCCAAGCTTTCCTTTACCCCCAATTTTGCCGCAAGGCAAAGGTTCCTATAGAGCAGGCCAGAAACGAAGGTAAACAACCAGCATAGCGTAAGAGGAGTGGGAAAAGGACGCAGCTACAAGGACAGGAAAGATTGAATTTACCGGCTTCGCGTCAGGCAACTGCTTGCTGAGCACGACGAGTACGCGCTCGATTGGAAGTTCGAGCACGACTACGTGCGTTTTCCCGTGCTCCTATCACGTAATGCTCTCGTCGTCAGACCAGCCCGGTCGAGAATACCGGCTCGGCACTGAACTTCGGCAATGCCCTGCTCGGCCTTATCGTAGATTCGGGAACTTGACGCGAGAACAGGATATAGACCTAACCGTCAGCGGTATAGGGCCGGACAACCAGTGTTCAGATAGGCTTTGCTTTATAGTGCCTATACTGCAACTATGCCTCCTTCAGACCAGTACCTTCCGAAGTACCGCGATTTCCCGGCACTTCGTGCCGCGTACTTCTGGAACGTTCCCACCTTGTAAGGTCTTCTCCAACACCTTTCACATTGTGGCTTCACATTTTGCCGCCGCATTCTCTTTTAGATGCGAAGCAGCTTGTGGCGGAGATCAATCCGGTGCAGCACGGTGCGACCACCCTTACGGCGCATGCGCAACAGCTGGCCCACGCAATGCCAGAACGCACTCACGCGCTAGCGCATTCCTGCCTCCGCAAGTGGCCGTGTAAGAAGCAGTCGCGTCTCCCCCTCACCCGCTCTCTCAGCAATCACGTGATGGCGTCAGGAAGCGAGATTTTGCAGACGCGCGATGAACGCACGTGCTCCGGAGTGGCGTGCTCCAGGAACAAGCGTTCGGGACGAGTAAGGGCAAAAGAAACTACACTGAATTGACCATTTGCGGGAAAACCACTGCGCATGAGCAGTAACCGCACAGGTAGCGTTCCTGTACAGGCGTTTTGGTTTTGGTTGGAAAACATCAGCCTGGCGTTCCATCAATATGACCCGTAGTAACGGCGAACACTGCCGTTTTCACGCAAACACCGTACCTCACAGACGGTGCACAAGCCGTCCTCACTGAACCTATAGTTAATCGACAGACATTTCAAGGTTCAACTTCAAGTGTATAACATAATGTTCCTCCTAAAAGAGCAGGCGTAATGAGCCTGGCGTACCGTCGATGTAGCGGAGTGCAGGTATCACCTCACTTGGTTATTTCTCAGGCTGAAACGCGAGAAATTCGTGTTTTACACCGTGTATACAAACGTCAACAGAATGTTTTTCTCCTTTACCTTCTTGTTTCAGTAACGGGCATGCGTTTTTGGTCCTAAAGCAACAAAACAAGCGTTTTGTTTTCCAACCAAAAGCGAAGCTTTCCTGCTTATACGACAGGGGGCGCTCACTTTTCCGCAAATGGTCAATTCAAAGTGTGCTCCACTTGCAAGGACATGCTTACCATAACCCCTCTGCATTCTCTATAGCACTTCTGTCAGCACCTTTGTGGCGTCTCTTCATCTCTAGCCCCTCGCGGCAACTTTACTTGGCAGTGGAGCGAAGGCTGCAGAGCCAAGTCGCAGGAATCCTACCACCAGTGAACGTAATTCCACAACAGCCACCGTATTTTCCCCATGAAATATAGAAGTTCCTCCCATTATTTTCTACGTGGAGCTATTCGAGATTGGACGCAGCTCCCACGATAAGATAGTGGTAGTTACTTTAACTTATTTCTTGTGACTTCGCGTTTTTGAACGCACGAGAAAGTCCCGCCTTTTTACGTGCACCTCAGTCACTAAGCGGCGTCTACGTCTAAACGAAACGCTGATGGTGCGCCCCCGTCACATTCCACAGCGTTACGAGACGCGCACCAAGACGGACTACTTCGCGTAGTGATACATGGGCACAAGCTCCACCTTCGTAGCTTTCCCTTCAGTGCCAAGAATAATTGTCGCCGAGTATAATATCTTTGTAGCACGGTTCCCCGCAGGTCCCCACTCCCGAAGCTGATAATTTCGCAAATATTTATGCTTTCAAAATGAAACTACTTTACCCGTGAAATCACTGAATGAAAATCTATAGCAGATGACTGAATTTGTTTCCAGGATTTAAAAACATCCGAAAGTAAACATCTCAAAGTACAATTCTTTTCAATTGGAACTTTACGGATGCATACACTCAAGGCAAAAAAAAAAAAAGGAAGGGGCGGGGGCAAGTATTGGCATGCTTCGCTG